CTTTCCCACCCCCTCGCCCGCTCCCCCGCCCCTCTCCGCCCCACAGCCCTCAACATGTTCTGCTCCTGAGCCAGAGCTGACCCCAGTGACCGAGTTAACTGTCTTCTTTCCCCTCCTCCTGGACCCCTTGCTGTCTGCCTGCACCAAGCCCTCGTTCATCTCCCTGTTCTCCTTTCCCTCCTCCTCCACACGTCCCACCTCCCTCTGCTCCTCCACCCTGGGCTTGCGAACACTCTCCCAATTCCCCTCAGCCTCGTCCCCCTTGGAAGCTGCCACCCCCTCGGCAAGCTGCACCTTCTTCCTCCTCGACTTCTTCATCCTCATCGACATCTCCCCACAGCCCTCCAGGATCTTGCACTCTGGCGCTGGTGCCCCAGCAATCTCCATCTCAGCCTTCTGCATAGCATCGATATCAATGATCTCGATGACACTCGGAACCTTGGGAATTTGGGCTGGCGTCTTGGGTGTTCTGACCCTCGTCTTCTTGGGGAGACTCTGCGACGAGTTCTGATCGGACTTGGGCTCGCTGCACCTGTCGATCTCCTCGGTGAGGTCCTTGTCGGGGCTCTTGCTCTTTCTCCAGGGCCCAGGTGCCCCCAGGGACTTGACGATGACAGTTACCTCGGCCTCTGAGGGATCGGAGTCGATGACAACGACGTCTTTCCGTTTCCTCGAGCCTCGAGACCTCACTGGCGGTGGCTTGTCGAGAGGCTCTGGGGACTTGCTGTCCCCTGGAGGTGGCGACAGCCCCAGGGCCGGGGAGGCCGGTCCCTCCAGCGGGGGGACGAGCTCCAAGTCGTCGTCAGACAGGACTCCCTTCTTCCCCAAGTCCTCGGCTCGCTCCATCGCGAAGGACTTGGCTCGCTCCAACAGCTCCGTTATCTCAGACGCCTGGATGTGCTCGAGGTCGTCGTCGGAAATGGTGCTCTTGCTGCTCTTTCTGTGCCTCACCGGCGACACCTCGTAATCCTGGATGCTGTCGAGCTTCTCAAAGCGCTCGAGCTTGGCATCCACGAGCTCAAGAACAACCTCAGAGCTGATGTGCTCGATGTCGTCGTCAGACACGTGATACGTCTCCTTGGTGAAGACGTTGGGCTCGATGATGTGGTAGTCCATGCAGTTGAAGTCGTCGAGGGTCGGCAGCTCGAGGGGTAGATTCATCTTGCAGAGGCTGGAGACTGAGGCGTCCATCGGTTCCGGCTCCGGTGGCTGGTCCTCGTCGGCCAGGGCTTCGAGGGCCTTCAGCTCGACGAAGTTGTCGATCGTCTGGTCAAGCCTCTCCACGATCATGGCTTCAGCCTCGCCAGCTCTCTCCATCACCTCTTTTTTTGCCCTTCGCTGATCTGTCTTGACGTCGGTCTTCTCAAGCTTCACATCGAGCTTCTTGGCTTCTACTCGAGGGCCACTCGTGTCCTCGATTATCACGCTGTCCTCGTGCTCCTGCAGAAGGTACTTGGGCCCCTCTGCGCTCTTCTTGTTTCGCTTGGGGACAATTATCCCCGGTCTCTTGGTCACCTTCTCTGGCTCAGGCTCATCACAATATTTATCTAACTCAGCTGTCTTATTCTCCATAAGTACAATACTATCGTCGTCGTAATTGACGACGTATTTAGCAGCAGCAATGCTTCTCTCATGCACATCGTCCTCGCGCTTTGGCGATCTCTTTATCCATGAATTTTCCCTTGCCAGTGTCATTGGACTCCTTGGTATCTCACCTTGCTCAGCGCAGAGACTCAGGCTCGTTGGCACATCTCTGAATGCACCTCGCTCGTAGTCAATTACGCAGCTGTCGGGTGTCATTGTTGCTGCCTCGACGCACAATTGCTTGTGCTCTTTGACATCGCGTATGTCGTCGTCAGGTACACTGTCAATAGCTGGCTCACTTGCTGAACGCATTTCAGCGCATATTTCGGTTAAATTACGGAGTGGATTGACGTCTGTATCGAAATCGTTGAGGGATGCTGGCCCCTCCTCGGCGCATACGCTTCTAGGGGCCTCCGCTATTCTATCGTCATCAAATTCCTGAGAAGAGGACGCGTCTTCTTCGTCGGCCATTACTGTTATCACCGTGCCCAGGGGGTTGACGACTTTTGTCACCGGCTGTCCCACCCTCTCAACTACCAATCGCCTCCCTAGTAACAGAAAAAGCCGTTGGCAGGTATCAATTACGAGGTTTTTTCACCATTATTATTCCAACCGTTTCTAGGTATCATTAAGACACGTATGAAATGTTTAATGGAAAAACTTGGCGAATTCTGGTGGAATTCTGTTGGCATTCTCTAGAATTCTGGTGGGATTCTATTAAAGTTCTGGGGAATTCTCGTGGAAATTCTATTTGTTTTTTGCGCTGATTCTGCGAGATGTTTTATAGGAATATGTCAATAGATTTCGATTTTTCTGTGGGAATATTCTATTGGGGTTTTTCTATGAGAATACTTGGGCATGGATTTTACAAGCTTTTTTCACTCGGATCCGGTAATGTAAAAGGAAACAAATATGGCGGGAAAAACTTGGAAAATCCGGGCCCAATAATTTTAATAGAAATGTCTCGAGAGAAAAGTTTACACAGAAAAATCGAAATCTTTTGACTTTTTCCAGGAGCAAATAGAATTTTAACGAGAATTCTCTGGAATTTTAATAGAATTCCCATAGAGTTTTTAGAGGATTCCAGTAGAATTTTCTAGCGAGTTCGCTAAGGCTTTCTATTCGTTTTTTCGTACGTGGAACTCTTAGTCTTCAGCCATTAACGGGGATTCACAGCTATTTTAATCGAAGGAAAGGAAGAAAAGGGTCAGGAGAAATCAAATTCGACAAAGTGTTTCTCATCAGGGCATTCAGTTATTCTACTTATCAACTCATTAGTTATTTAAGGACTGTACGGAAAACGCGAATAAAGAATATCATTTGAGTTAAAAATCTGACATCGAACAGATTCTTGTCATAACTGTTATCGGGAAATTGCACATCAACATTACAATTTCTTCATGAAGGGCTCTGACAAGTATCTGTTTACTATCAAATCTGGCGAATTTTTGACTCTGATGATATTCTTTGGTTGAATTTTTTCAGTACAACCCTTGAATAATTAATGGGGCGATGAGCAGAATAAATGAATGCTCTGATGAAGATCACTTTGCGTGCTCGAAACATTGGCAATGATAGGAAAAATTTGGTTTCTCTTAATTCTTTTCGGCTCCTCGTTTGATTAAAATTGCTGTGGGTGACCGGTAACGGCTCAGGAGTAGGAGTTTTTACTGAGTTTTTTAATCCCGGGGGCTGAGGGGACTCATCGGTGGAAATCATGATGACATTGACACGAAATTTTCTGGTGGACGTCCATCGTTTTCGCCGGATTAGGTGTCAATTTTTTTATCACGCACGATAAAATTTGATAGAAAAATCTAGCGAATTCGGGAGGTTTTTCTATGAAATTTTTTTATACGTGACAATTCCTCTGGATTTTGTTTTCAAGTTCTTAAGGATCAGTTTAAGGACATCCAAGTACTTTCGCTATTTTTTTCGATTTCAGGCCTAAAAAAATTGGGTTTTCGAAAGTTTAAACAATTTAAATTATTTATTTATTAACAACGAATGTTTAAAAAAATAATAATTCTGTGTAAAACGTAATTTTAATGACGCTGAATATTCCTGATTTTTTTCAAATTTTTTTCACGCAATTTAATTGACAAATTTGTAAAACTGTAAAAGATACTTGGATATTCTTAATTTCTTATATATGACTCTTGAGGAAGATTTTTCAAGGTCGCATGAAACTGTGTTATCAGCTCAGATGATAACGCAGTTCCGAGGGCAATTAAAATTGCTGAAATGCGGGGGAAAACTCCGGGGCATCAATTCCCAGCCGAAAGGGGATGGCAAAACCTGAAAGATGGCTTAAAAAATTTGTTCCATTTATTGAAAATGGCTGGAGTGAGTTTAGAGCAATCTGAAGATGATGAATAATTTCAAGAGATGTTTGAAAATGCGAGGTGGAAACGTCGCCATCTTGAAGACAGCGTTCATCGGTATCTAATCAAGATGGCGGCGCCCCCACTTGCCATCCACCTCGTATTTTCAAATATTTCTTACAATTATTTAACCGTCCCAAATCCCCTTCGAGTTGTCTCATCCAGTTCCTACAAAATGAACAAATTTTTCAAGCTTTCATTCAGATTTTTTCGTCCACGTTCAATTGAAAATTCATGGCGCAAAATTTTCCCGCATTTCAGTGCTATTTTTTTTCGCTTATGAGGCCTCTTAATAACTTGAAAATGAAGTCTAGAAAAATTCTAGAAAAATTTATACATAATCCGACCGTCTTTGTGAACATTCTGTGAATTCCAGATGAATGTCATCATTTACCTTTTTTCGAGTAAATACCTTACGGTTTTCTTAACGTCTTGAATTTTGAGATGGGGGAGGTACCCGGGGTTCAAAGTGCAGTGATTATTCTATTTTTTTTTAAGTTGATAAACAGAACATGACAATCACACAAAGTTTTCCCCTTCTGGGGCGTTGAGCACTCAATGGTTTTACGTGCACTAATTTATGGTTTCAATGGTTTTGACGAGAGAACAGAGAGTAAGCGAGTACAACATGATTTATTATGCTCTACGAAATTCTGTTGAATCTATTTTGAAGTTCTATTTTTTTGTCGATGATTTCTACTGAAAATTATGCAATTTTATCCACTTTTTGAGAGATTTTTTACAGAAAAGGTTTCATAAATGTTGATTTTTCAATGTAACTTTGTTGTTGAGATTTTTATTTTTAATTTTCCCCGAATTTTCCATCGAGAACCAGAAAAAAATCGAAATCTTCGAATCGTCTTCATCAAATATTTGCAGAAAATCCAATATTTCCAATAAAAATCCCCAAAAACCCCGAAAATTTCCCATGAAAAATCACTAAAATATTTTTTCTTCCATTTCACAATCTAAATTGTGACTCTTCAATGCATATTATAATTATTTTTATCAACTGCTAAATTTGTTTCAAGAAATGTAAAATCTATTTCCCTCGTCAATCCCCGAATTGTACATATAATTCAAAAGAAAATCCTAAAACAGTACAACAGTTTGCTTAGAACTTTTGAACCACGAGGCCACTGCACCGAAAATCAATTATTTACAATGTTAGTGCGAAAACTAGGGTTTAAATTGTTGGCTGAGCAAGGGAAGACGTTATTACTGATAATAGATGATGATGTCCACCCTGGTTGATGTTAGTGAATTCAATCGTTACGAATGTCATTCTGGGGTGATAAATTAACGGCGATACCTGCCTCTGGCCAGTTCTGTATCCTTGCAAACTTAGAACACTAGGTACCGTCCTCTACCACGTGCAGGAAGCATTAATGTGCACGTCATACCGTTGAATCGTGTGAAATCAATTCACTCGTCTCTTTCTCTCATTTATTTGTTCATTGACATGCGCTAAGCAATAATTACTTGGCAAAAAGCACAGATCATCATTTCCCAGATCATTTCGAAACATTTTATGATTCACGAATGAATTTTCTGGACTTGATTTCTTCATCTCTTGTGGATTTCCAATTCGCTAGGTTTTTCTACGAAATTATTTCACACGTGGATGCAATTTGCCAGAGTAATAAGATAAATGCAAAACAGGAGAATAAACATTTTCCGGACGTAAAACACTCGATGAAAAACCAAAATGATTTTCGAAACAGCATATTTGCATTTTTATTGAGAATAAATTTTGAAAACGCGAGTAACAAAAGTAAAATCGAATTCTTATGGGAGTTCTACGTACCTGGAACACGGTTGGGGGCAGCTGAGGTCTCCAGCATGGCCTCGGCGAGGTCTTCGCGGAGCTGATTCTCACCGTTACCCATGTCCATGGTTTCGTTCTCCAGGGAATCCCCGTAGGCTTCCATGAATCTTGGGGATTGCTCGTAACTGCCTGGAATAAAACGAAAGGGGAATTAATGCAGAGCTAATGTTGAGTGACCTCATTCTGTAGAAAGAATCATCAGTAATAGCGATTAAATCAGGGCTTGAAAAGTATATTTCAATGGCTTCTTAATCAAGTTGAAAGATGGTGGAAGCAGCATCATTGCTTATCAAGTTACACAATACCGTCATGAGTTTTTTATATCAAAATCTCTCTCTATTAAACTCAGGTAGCAGTCTATTATGTTGAATACTTATTGAACTTATTGTGTTGAATGCATTCGAAAGCAAATTGCTAATTTATGTAAATTGAGCAATTGTCCACTTGTTCAATTTTAAAACTCCTGGAGTAATTAAAGATAACTTTAATCCTAGATTTCAATTAATTCAAGTATTTTAGTGGTAAAAACCATTGGATTTGATCCTAGAAGTCCTCAAATCCATCAAAAATAAAAAAACAACAGTAGAATTCATCATTCAGATCCTGTTCACACGACATTTATTATTTCTGATTTTTTTATTTGATATTATTTCTGATTTTTCTGGACTTTTAAAATGCTGGTGACCACTTGGTCTAATTTCTCGACATCAAGGATATCAATTGTCAAAAAACAGGACTGAAGTCTCAATTCTTCCTCAGTTCTTCCCCAAAAATATTGAACTTACTTCCAGACCCATCAATAACAACTGGCACTAGAGGTCTGGCAGCTGCATGAGGCATGTTAACAGGGTTCGACCTCGCCGGTCGTGATCCACCAGTGACACCGATTTCCACAGCCTCAGACTCCACCAAATTCACTCTAAAAATGAAAAAAAAACCCCAGTGATCATCCTGCCTCCTTCAACGCCCTCCTCACTTCCTTTCGAATGGAAAATTCAATGATACGAACCCACTGGGTGCGTTGTAAGTCTTGAACACGAACTGTGGCCCCATCCACAGTCTCCTGTGGGGTCCAGCGTGGGTCACTATCTCCACTTGACTCAACCAACGATCCTCAGCAGTGTCCATCTGCCTCGCACTCTTGGGGCACCCCGAGTAGCACAACAGTGGACTCGATGATGGCAGTGGGGGAATTATCTCCAGGGAATTCGGTATTCTGAGCAAGGGCCACTGGCCCTTGGCCTCCACCTCCAGTTCTATCATCGTGTCGTCGCAGACTTTTTCTTTTGGGATGCCTGTGCAACGCAAATCGGATTAATCGACAAGTATAAATAAATCCATTAGCTGGATACGTAATGAAAAACGAAAAAAAAAAATTGAATTGATTCTGAAGAAGGAGAATCATCGTTTTTTTTTGTGAGGATGAAAAAGCCCTGAATTTTTGTTTTGACGAGCTTCTAAATTTTTAAATTTTTGTGGTTTTTTTTCATTAAAAAAATTTTTTTTATTTAAAAAAATGTTTTTTTTTTCTAATTTTTGTGAAAGGTGAAGATATTATGTTTTTAGAAAATGTTTGTATGCATGTCCGGATGCGTGAGCCAATTTTTCGGAAAATTTTTATAAATCTTCCCAGAAAAAGGACAAAAAAATAAAAAAATTTAAAAAAATGTTGAAGCTAAAAATCTGAAATTTCATCACGTGATTGGCATTACTTTGGAGCACTTCTGGCCGCAATTTCAGCTCAATTGATCAAGTAGTTTCCGAGATACAGCAATTTCTCAAAAATCTTTTTTCCTCAATATCTCGAGAACTACGTGACTGAATTGAATTTTGACGTCAAAATATTCCTTGTGATAATATCTATCAAATCGGACAAGTGGCTTAGTAGACATTCAACTTGTTGTGAAAAACGTGATTTTATCGTCATAAAATTATCATTTTATCGCTTGTTTTTTTTTCAATTTTGTGAATAAATAATAGAATAGAAATAAAATGAGTAATTACCCGCAGCTGGTTTTGGTTCTAAGTCGTACTGAATCATATTACCATGACATGCCATTATGAACAATGAATCAACAGCACGTTTTGATACTTTGCTTGTGGAATCACGTTGGGAGTATATCCAAGCTCGTGGTGGTGCGAAACAGGCGCAGATTTTCAATGGTAATGTACCATTGTCGTCTGAATGCAAGCGTTGCCTCTGCTGAGGTCGACTAGAAACAAATGGAGAAATTCAATTCCGTGGGAATTTTTTCAAGACAACATAAATGTAGAATCATGAAGACAATGTGAATAAATCATCGATATTGAAACGCTGGGTGTGAAGTACCTCAAGGCGACAATTCAATTCTTCATTGAGTAGTTCATTCGACAAAAAAATAGTTGTTTTCAGGGAATGAAATTATGTAACGATTTTTTAATTTTCTATTAAAAAAGTCAATAGAATTCATTGAAACTTATTGTGTTAAGATATCTTCTATCAAATTTTCTCAGCTGAAATTTTCAATTTTTAAAAAATCTATTTTTCCTTTTTTTCATCAAGAAAATAAAAAACATTAGAGAATTTGAGCCGAGGATATTCTACAGAAAATATCTCAGCAGAAAAACTTGTACAGAAAAATCGAATTCTACTGACTTTGTCAAAAAAATAAAAAACCAGCAAATTCATGACGTTTTTCTATAAAAATTTTTCATAGATGTATTTTCCCATTCCCATCACTCCCACCTTATTCTCCCCCGAGTAATCAACATGATTGAATTCCTCCTCAAAACCCCCCTAAAAAAATTTCACCTACCTCGGCTGTGTCTGATTATTACTATGATTAAGTGTCGACGGTTGGCGTATCTGCGCAAGTGGATGCAGAATAGTTGGATGTGGATACGGAGGAAGTCTCGGATTGGAGTAAGGATACGCAGAAATAGGCATTTCGGTGTGTGAAACTGGTGAATGTGATCTTGTTCCATCGTCAGTCAAGCCAGCACTCCTGTGAAATCTGGAGAGTCTGTTGACGACGTGAGGTGTCGAGTGGGTCCTCATGCCGACAGGTCCCCCATAGGGTGCCACTGGGAACACATGGGTCGTCCCCCTGACAGTGGACACAGCAGCCCATCGAGTGTCGCTGGAGAAGACCATGTCCTGGACTTTGGCCGTCGTATCACCCCTATGAAGAACATAAAGATGATGCACTGCGGCTAGGGTTGGTCCACCAGGATGCGGCTGTATCCGGAAAACGTGGAAGTCGTGGCCCCTGCGGTCAGCTGTCATGAGGATGGCACCTGTCTCGTCGAATGTCATCGCGACAATTGCGTCGCTGTGCGCTGTGAAGTGGGCGACAACGGTCTCGATTGTTGGATCGTCGAGCTCTTTTTCCTCCTTAGCTGCTTGGAGATCGAGGATTGTTATGACTCCGGGCTGGGTGATGTCAGCTGCAGCGTTGTTTATGGGGATTGGGGCCGCTGTCGTCCCGGTTAAGCTCGAGGCCACTGTCTCACCTAGACCTCGGAGACCCTTCCCCAGGGATTTTGCTGCGTACAAGACAGCCGCTGTGTAACTTTGGACACCCTCGCCTTCACTGCCTCCACTGCTGCGACGCGCTGGCAATAATTTTTTCTCACTGAAAGGGGAAATCAAAGATATTGACACATTTTGGGAAAAAATGCGCATTTTTATCTTAATTTCACTAAGTTTGCACATGACTTAATTTATTTCATGAAGTAACGTTTTTCTGTTATATGAAGATCGGTGATTGTGATGAGACTTGAGGTGATTAACTGTTAGGACCTTGGAAATAACCGAACTAATTGCAAAGATTGCCACTGTAATTGCAATGAGTTAAGAAAAAGAGACATCATTAAAATGAATGAATAAGTAGTAAATTGAGTAATTAATAACTAAATAATAAACAAGACAAAATGAAACATAATGAACGAATAACTTACTAAATAAAAAAATTGGTAAACACAACAAATGAATGAATGACCGTGAATAAATTTCTTTAAACAATAATTAATCAAGTGAATGAACTGGACAAAGCTCTATGCAAGAGAACTCTACACAATTACGACTGTAATGTTTCAATAATGTAATCGACGTAAATCTCTCTGACTAAATTACCTATAAGCGAGCCATCTCGTTCCCAGCGCCACAGGATTAGGATTGGGTCCGGGGCTCAGATAGCAAGTGGTGACCGTCAAAACGTCGTCAAAAGTCCTGGCATCAAAGACAGCGATTCTCTCCGCGAATGTGACAACAACCGATCTCTTGTTCGCCAGGACATCGCAGACGGGATTTTTGAACTTGATGCTCTTCGTCTGCTCTCCAGTCTTCAGTGAAATGAAGCTGACACTGCAGAACTGCGGCCCTGGCCCAGCCGAGTCACAGATGGCGACGATCGGCCGTTTCTTCTCGTAAGGGTCGAGGTGATCTTCATCCGTCAGCGGATCGGGGAGAAGTCTCAGGGTGCGCACGACTCCCTGCCTCCAGGACAACACCTCCGTCGCCTCGCCCGATGCCGATATTATCCAGACTTGTACGCCTGTTGCATAGCCCAGGACGAGGAGCAACGGGGGAGTGCTGGAGCCCTCGATGTAATCCGGGAAGAGGGATGGGTCATTCACGTCACCGTACTCGAATCTCGCCCATGTTATGGTCTCGCGGTTGTCTGAGCTCGGGACACTCGTGTAGGCTTGGGGCACTATGTCGTTTATTATGCCAGCTACACTATCGATTATTGATCTGTCGCTTATTGGCTGGGGCGAGATCACTTGGGCACCCTTGTGCAACCCTCTTCTAGGCGAGTCTGCCGACATTTTGATAGCATTGGCTCTTCTGCTGGAAAAGAAACAATTACCATCATTTTTTTTTTGGGACGTTGAGGATTTTTTGTCTTCCTGACGAAATCTTTTTTGTCTTCCTGACGAAATCTTTTTTGTCTTCCTGACGAAATTTTTTTTTCTTCCTGGCAAAAGACAATCCACAGATGGAGGAGTGATTAATTCTGACATTTTTCTATATGGATTTTAATTGATAGATTACAACATCTGGTGTTGGTAGACTATACGGACCCTTTCTCAATATAAATTTTATATTGGGAATTTTTGGGACCCGACGCCAGCCACGTCCGCGCCGTGGGTCCTGGGTAACGCCAAGAGCTGGTAAGGCTCGTAATTCGATGCTTTACCATGCTCGTGAATTTAGAAAGTGACTATCTTTAAATTAATTTATTAAAATAATTTACATCAATAATTTGCATCAATTTACCTTTTTTTCAATTTCTTTTTTCAATTTTGGAGGTAAGTGACATTGGATTTTATTTGGGGGGAAAGACTCGTGTAATTCCCAGCTTCTGGTAAACAGTCAAGTAATTTTGAGTAATTGCTACTGTTGGAATGTTCTGTTGGACCTGTATTTAAATTCTCAATTAAGAATATCCACACTATAGACTCAACCGTTTTCAATCATCAAATTCGTCAATTAAATTGCGTGAGAAAAATATAAAAAAAATCATGAATATTCAGCGTCATTCGTTGTTTATATGCAAATAAATAAAACTGTCTAAACTATCAGCACAATTGATTAGGGGTGGGTGGGGTGAAACGGACACTTTAGACTTTTTTTAAATTATTCATAACTCAGAAACAAATTGATCAATTGAGCTCAATTTAGGCTCGTCACAAAGGGAAAAAATTGTTCTTTGTATTGAAAAAAAAAATACTGAATTTTATCAACATTTCAACCCCTCATTAACATTTTCAAAAAAGTCAAGTGTCCGTTTTACCCCAATCTCCCCTAATAAAATCGCAATTGGTCGTCTAATAGTCTAGTTTCTTCCTGAACTGATGCGAGCGCTTGTATTTTTGAGGTGAAAAAAAAATAAACCTCTCCGTCACGACGTAGTAACCTCATCACATTTGACAA